TCAATACTTTAGAGTGCGTTAGAAACTAGATTACAAACCAAATATTTTGTGCGACGCAAAACCATTTGGTCAAATAGATTAATTCATTTACGATATTAGAACATCAAGATAAAATTTTATTTTGTTTTTACAATTTAAATTAATCTGTAATGTTCGCAAAACTTTTTTTGTATGCAAAATGAATCACAGTTATCACCAAAAAATCGTCTTTGAAATCGGTATGTTCGTTCTGGCTGAGATTCTTTGCAATCTTCAATACGTGTAGCAAGAAATTTATTGATATCGAATTGATGTGGACAGAGAATATTGAAGCCACGTTGTTGGTATTTATATAAACGAGGAACTCTTCTCATGAATTGCGACGGAGTAACTGGTATACAATAGCATGTTGTATGACCAGAATTTAATGCTTGCAAACAACTAAATGAGATAATTACTTTTTGTGAATTGAATGCAGCTCCACATATATCAAGATCGAATGAATGAAGCATTCGTGAGATCGTGATAGGAATCATAGTTGGACGAATAAGTTGAAGAACGATCGATGGAGAGAAATTTGTGCCATTGAAAATGTCGTTGATGGTAAATCTTTGATATAAATCAAATTGAATTAATCTATTTGACCAAATGGTTTTGCGTCGCACAAAATATTTGGTTTGTAATCTAGTTTCTAACGCATTCTAAAGTATTGAAGAAGAGCAAAAGAGTTACTGATAGAAATAGATAATTGTATTTAATATTATTTCTCTTTATTTAATGAAATATTGTAGTACTACATTCTACAGATTCGATAAGTAGAGATCATTTTCAAGGAATTTTTTGTTGTAAATTTTACTTCTTGAAATTAACGCATTTTAGCGTAAATGTAATCCTATTAATTATTTGTAAGTGGAGAAATTTGAAACGGATTTTTTTTGTGCATATGAGACATTATGACTACTATATATGACTAAGACGAAGTGTTTGTTTCATGAAAATATAAACAAAAACATCGGATTTAAACAATATGTTTTACAATATGAGGCTACATATGGTTTAAATTAGTAAACGTTTTATTCTTTATAGTAAAAAAAAGAGAATATAAAATCTTACTACGGCGTTTTTGAACAGTCGTGGATTTTCTTTGAGAAAAAATAAATCGATATCAGATGTATTTCCGGTGAAAGGTTGAACAAGTAAACATGAAACGATTGAACCACCAGCAATAACAAATAGATTCCAATCTATATAACTTCCCCAGATATCATATTCATATTGAGACTTGAGATTTTTGATAAATTGATCAAAATTGAGAACAAGTTTTGGTGGCGATTGATTGTTTCCCCAAACTTTGAATAATGCACATTCATCAACGGATAATGGACGTGGTTCAAAAAGATCTATTCATACATAGATTACATCAAAATTATATATATATATATGTATGTAATTGTGTGCATATTGTTATCCTCTGTTTATTCACTCGTCTGTTCTAAATGTTATTTCTTTTTCTCGTAATTTTTTTGCTACTAACTCTATATTTATTTCATGAAAGTGGTGTTCTACTTGTACGGTTTGCTGTGATGTTTTTAACATAAAGAAATAGAGAAAACTGAAACAATTGATTCCCGATGCCACTAAACTATTATGTGAATTATGTAACTTTGGGACTTTTTATATATACGGCTTAGAGAAGAAAACATGTCATACATGAATAGTCAAAAATATCCAAAGTAGGATAAGATGATTCATAATAAAATGGACTAAATGCCCATAGTCGACAATATAAGAAAAACATATCTGTCGAATAATATTTCAATGATTTTGCGATCACATGCATCTTGAAAGCTCCATAAACGAAGTTATTCCATTTGCATGGTGACAATACAAGGCTGATGTCGTTTTCAGTAATCATATATGGTGATTTTGACATGTCAATTAATGATTTTATTTCATTTTCAAGTGAAAGACTACACTGT